TTATCAATTTTAAGGCAACAGTACCAAATGATGATCCAACCTCGATTACAGTAATGTTCAGAAATACTCACAACCATGAATATCGTGCTGAAACAACTCGTTTACCATCTCCAGTACGCCAATCTGTTTCTAAATATGTTCATATCTGGTGATCAAAAGTAACTTTTTTGGGTGATCATTTGTATCTAAAAGTGTGTGCTGATCAAAACAATCTTTTACGGGTCATGATTTGGATTTTTAATTGTTTGGTGATCAAAACTATATTTTTGTGGTGATTAAAAAAAACTGTGACCCATAACGAACTGTTCGTGAACATGAAATTAAAAATGAATTTTTTTTATCGTTTAATTTATATCTATCGTTATCTACAATTATTATTCTATTCGACACGAAAGATAACTAATACATAAAATAGTCAAATCTCTCTTGGTTTTTCGTTTTTCCTGTTCAGATATACATCACTGATCTATTATTTTTCTTGTTGTTGTGCTTTTTTTTTTATAGCTGTAAAAACATTTATATTTCTATCGTCATTTTTGTAAAGATAAAGATAAAGAGAATAATAATAATTTATGCTAATCTTAATAATTCTTCTATTTTTTAATAGAATTATTGGTCTATATACAACATTTGTAATTGTTATTGCACGATTAGTACGTTCAATTCTGCCAAAAGGTCAAACAATTATGTTTAATGAATTACCAAATATTGAACGTTTTTGGCATCTTTTACAAGATATTTATTTGGTTCGAGAACACAATAGATTAAATATTTAAGAACAACTTTTTGCTAAAGTTCTATTCTTATATCGTTCACCAGACACACTGAAAAAATTTACAAAAGCTAAAATAGACAAATACAATTAGATATTATTTTATATATGGAGTTGAAATTTTTTTTTAATGATATGTATTATCAGTTTTCTCTTTGTTAGTCATTGTCTGTATTATTATAATTTTTTTTCTCTATTCATCGTTTGATGTTGAAGGTATTCATTATTTTCTTTATTTATATGTATGCAATCATGACATTATTATTATTATTATCAGTATGAA